CTCAAGAAAAATAGGATAGAATTTTATCTGGGCACACAAAAGCAGTGTTTTACAGGGCAGTCCTTTTGGATGACTGTTCGTAGACATTATTCTCAGGAATCCACTTTCAACTACTAAACCTATGTGAGGTCTGCAGTTAAATTACCATTATAGAGGACAAAAGAATGTTAAGTGGTCTTCAGAATTAAAAGCCAGGGTTTGTCAGCCTGAAGGAGGATCAGCTGAAATGATATCCTATCTGCAAATGTTGTTTGAAGAGGAGACATTAAAATGAAAGAGGTGAAAAAAACAGGAAGGAGAGAGGCAGTCATTTCTTTTTTAATCTAAACTTCATCCCTAGTAGAGAATCTCATTACACTGGACATTTTGAATATTGGATCAGGACTGATGATGTGTCTAAGGTGTGTACAATGGAATTTGAACAATGATTGATTAATCACTGTACAAAATTCTCATCTCCTAACTCTATGCTTTAAAAAAAAAAAAAAAGAAACTCTTATTTCTACATTAACTTGGTTTGGAAGGTCTGATCCACAAAAGTTAACTCAATGTAAAATTCTCAAAGCAAAAGCCAAAAACAGGCTGACAGATTTATAAAGCTTGCCTGGGTTTGACCTCAGAATAGAAATGTCTGCTCTTAGGCAAGCTCAGCCCATTCTTTTTCTGGTGTGCACCTGAGCTGTGGGAGTCGGCTATGAAAAATTCATGCAGGATGCTTCAACAGTCCCACCTATGTCCTTAACATCTGCTGGCTTCACATCACATTAAAACTTCAAAGTGATTCCACCCCTAAGATGGCAGCAAGCTTTCATCAGGAGCAGGAAGGTGGATAGTTCAGAGAAGTCCTCTCCTGCCCGACAGAAATATCTGTGCGGAACATGCTGGAATTGATCTTCTGAACCACACAAAAGGGAGAAATGTTAAAAGATAATAATACCATCTACTAAACATGCACAAAACAGCAGGCAGTACCATTATGGGACTGCATTTCACTTCTAACAGTCATGCTTTTTAAAAACATTTATTTTTATCTAAACCCTCTTTATCTTTTGCTTCCCATAAGCTTCAAGTGTAGCCAAAATATTTAGCAGCTGAAAAGGTGGTGAGGTTTTTGAACTCTCAAGTACATGGTTGTTTGTAAAAATGTGTTATTTTCTCCTGTTAGCCAGGTGATAGCATATCACTTATTTAGGTGTTTTAGGACAAGGCTATCCCTGGTTGCTACTGCACTCCGACACTGTGCTGCCCCTGCAGAAAGAACAGTTTATTATTGTGATGGGAAACAGGAGGTGGGGCTGCATGACACTCTCCAGTTTAAAATTAATTACAGTACAATCCACCAGGAATTTAATTTCCAGTACCCTACTATCCCGATTATGTTCACTACATAAACGTTCCTGCTTTATTCTCCTGACACCAAGGAAATATTTATCTTCGTTAAATGATAATTGGCTGTAATATCTTTTGATTTTTCTGAAATGCTGGCTGGCAAGTTTTTAAAAATTTTCATCAATCTTGTTTGGTCTTTTTACAAAAGCCTATATCAGAAAAAAAAAAAGATGTCTAAGTCTGCAAAACATACTATATCTTGCTACTAGTATGAATAGGTCTTGAGAATATTTAATTTCATAATAAATCTAGTAAGGTGATGTATCCTACGATATTTCATGGCCTCGCAAGATGTGGGATAGCCATGTCCTGAATTGCAGTTTCCATTGCTTAGAGCACTCACTGCAGTCCAGAAAGGAGCAAAATTTAAACATACCATTCTGTGGCTTTCTGCAGATTTATCAAGACTTCTGATCTTTAGAGGTTTTCAAAATGGAACTTTAGTAAAAAAAAAAAAAAATGCATAAATTGGGTGCTACTTAACATTTAGCTAAATCCAATATGTCAACAGGAAGGTTCTCCTAAGAATTAAACTAAGGCAGTTTCCTCAGCCTCCTTACTTCTCACATTTTACTTGGTCCTGATAAAAAACAACGAATGCATAGAGGAACAAAATGCAGGTTTTCTCTGATTTAACATAAGTCCATATCATCAACCTCCTTATAGCTCACCTTTTATACATTTTACCTGGTGCCAAAGAAAAGTTAAAAATATATAAAAGAACAAAATGCAAGCCAGTTAATTATAATATGTATGAGTAGTTTTCAATATACCTTTTGGTCAGTGTAGAAACTGAAATTATTGAAAAAACTTTACATATTCCAATTATCTAATACCATAGTATTACATTAGTGTGGCAATTTGCAAATTCACTACATTAATTTTATTTTCTACCGGCCTTTATAGAATAGGCATGTAGGAAACTACTAGGTGCTGACTATTTTATAATTTTTGTGAAATTAACCAGAATCTTTATGGTTATACTGTTAGCATAGAAGAAGGCTAACTTCCTTGTTTCTAACCCAGAATTCCACCTACTTTGACCTGTCATTATTCTGGTATTTATATTACAATTGAACACCAAATCAGATTTGCTAAAGAGAACAAGTGATTTTACTTGAAAAACTTGGAGATCATTAAAATAATCACAATCTATTTGATAATATAATTTCCATCCTTTATCACCACCACTGAAAAAAATCTTGATAAATCATATTCATTTCTACTATAATTCTTGATTCATATAGTCCTTTAAATAACAGGATATCATGCACTAGATTTTGTGAACCCCACACCTAATCAATGTGCATAATCTTCAAAGTATTACAAAGGCCCTGCTAATCCAAATCTGCATCCAGTCTGTGGTCTGGGGAACAGGATTCAATTCCTCAAATTAAGGTGCTAATGGTAGGATGACAGCACAGTATGATCACTTAGAATCAATTACTAGGAACTCAGTGGACTCAGTGGACGCGTGAGAGCTCTCTCAGTTAATTTCCGCAGACTCCTGCATCCAGTGTTTGCTACAAAAATTAATCTGGTAAATTCTATTGGGCCTAAAGCAATAGTATCCCTCAAGGACCACATGAGGCAAACAATATCACCCTGTCCCATGTACGAGGAGGGACCCAAAGAAACCAGAATTATTTTTTAGAGGGTGGGCCCCTTGTAGTACAGGCTTCTACTAGGCAAATGTTCTAGGAACCCACTGGCATCAGTGTACCAGCTAGGCTTGTTGTGAGAGGTTGTGTTCAGCTTCAGTGAATTTTTTTTGTTTTGGAGATTTTTTTCAATAGGTTTGTACATTTCGTGATGGGTGATTTATGAGCACACCTGTCTACACCATGCTGAGTGTTCAGTAGTTTTTGACTGAAAATGGCATTCCCCCATTCCCCATGCTCCCTATTCACTGGATCTCATCTCAAGCAACTTTTGTTTCCTTGGATGAAAAAAGTCCTCAAAGGGAAATGATGTGGAAGAGCTGGCGGGGGGGGGAAGGGCACTCACTAAAAGGCATCAGGATTGACAAGTTTAAAACTGTTTTGAACAATGGAAAGTGTCTCAATAGGTGTATTACATCAAGCAGAGAGTATTTTGAAGGCGACTGAAGTTTAAACATGTAAGAATAAAGACATAACTTTTTATAAATAAATTTGGTTTCTTTTGGGTCCCCTCTTGCACTTTTCAAATCACCTAAAGGGGAAAACTATCCCTTCAAGGTGATTTTTTTTTAAAAAATGAAATCCTTTACTACATAGACAAACCAATATAATTCACTCTTATATCACATGATCATAATATTTTGAAATGTACTATCTGCCATGTCTATTTCCAACTGTATTTTTTCAACAGCACAATAACTTTATTTTGTATCATGAAACTTCACACTGTAAACATTTGGTGACGTGCCCTCTGATATGCATGTTTGAATCTAGTTTAGTTCAGAGATCTTGCTTTTGGTTATTTTCTCTTTTTTATCAATTAATTCTTGCTGGTAGAATTTCAAAAGCCAAACATTTAAACCAAGTTTTCTCAAACTAAAATTCCCTTAAGTAAAATGTATGAGGAGGGACCCCCAAAAACCCGGAATTTACTTACAAAAAGCTGTATACTTACTCTTATATGTTAAAACTTCAGTGACCTTCACAGTACCCTCCATTTGATGCAATGCACCTACTGAGATGCTTTTTCCACTGCTCAAAACAGTGTTTGAATTCATCAATTTTGATGCTTTTTAGTGCTTCTACTGTTTTTTGTTTCATCTCTTCCACATTGCAAAATGTTTCCCTTTGAGGATTTTTTTCATCGGGGAAACAAAAAAGTCACTCAGGGCAAGACTGAGTGAATAGGGAGGTTAGGGCACCAGGGTCAAACCTTTTTTGGTCAAAAACTGCTGAACACTCAGTGTGGTATGGGCAGGTATACTCGTAAACCATCCATTATGGAATGGGCAAATGTGTTGACTCTCCAAAAAAAAATTAACTGAAGCCACATGCAGTCTATCACAACAACACTAGCTGGTACACAATGCTGATGGTTCCTAGAACCTCGTGGGGAAGCCTGTACCTCAAGGGGCCTGCCTTCCAAAAAATAATCCCAGTTTTTTTGCATATAACTGTGATTTGTGTGTATTTTCTTCATGATTCAGGCTTTTAGTTAAATCAGGTGGAAAAAATTATCAACTGATTATGCTTAAATATTGCTAATTTTAACAAAACATTCTCAAGGATTTTCATTAGGTTAAAAGTATACATAACCTGTGCCTAATCTAGTCTCAAATTAGGTTCATGGATACAATTCATACAAATCATAAGAATTTTTGTTGTTAAAAACAATGTACACTGACAGTGTACAAAAGCACATTTTTAAAAATTCACAAAACAAATAAGATCTTGCATTCAGAAATATCAGAGTCATACTTTGTGCATATAAGTTCAAAGAAAGCAACATCTGTAAATCTCTCCAAACTATTGGCACTGGATCAATATTAAATCATAACCACCATACTAGAGAGATAAGATTTATTGCAAAATGTCCCGTCGGACAGTGGTTATTAATTAAAGCAAGATTTTATTGCTTTCAGAATTATCATTTGGGAATTCAAAACTCACTTGCTATGCTCAAATAAATGAATGGGCTTGTCTTGTTTTCTCCGTTCTTCTCATTGACAGCCTGCACACAGTAAGCCCCGGCATCACTAGCTATTGTTGCAAGGATCACCAGCTGATTCTCCAATGTGATGGCTCTGTTTCAGAAAAGTAGAAAACAGTGTCAAAGCTACTCCAGGGAACTTCTTACTTTTAAGACAAAATTAATTTATATTATGCCAATTATAAAGGAATATCTACAGCTTTTTAAAAAAAGAGTTGAAAGAACAAAAACAATACACAGACAGACTTTAAGAACATGATGATGGCTGAGCATCCTCTGACATGACTGACAAACACTCCAGCCACAAGTGTCTGAGTGTCCCAGGTGCTATATATTTGTACTAGCCCTTGACTGTGAGCAAGACAATGTTCTGGAATATATATGTCCAGAGTTTGTTACAACTCAGAGTTTTGAGAATTCCTAACAAGACCAGTTAGAAGAAATCCCAGAGGAGTTGTCCCCTTTCTTTCAGGCAGGGGTATTTGATCACACAATGGCCACAAAATTTTCAAATAGAAAGCAGGCCACCAAAACCTCAAACCAGGGCAAAAGAATTTGTTGTGATTTTCTCCAACTTAGAGGAACCTCATTAGAGCCTTTGTGTATCTATTACTACACTGGTGGGTAGAAGGAAAGTTGCCACTGGGCATATTGCTCACCCCCTTCAACTTAAATTCTCCCATAATTAACTTCAGGTTACATTTCTTCCTTGTGCTGTCACCTCATGTCCCATTAGTGCAAAGTAACAAGTAAGTAATATACTTGATCATGACCAGATCTTTCCCATATATCCCAATTCTAGTGTGAAAGGAATCTCTGAGATGCATTTGATCCACTCACCCTTTCTTTGAGCCAATGAGGCTCACAGATGTTAAGTTGTTTGTCCCAGGTAACACAAGAACATAATACCAGAGGAGGGCCTAGGTCTTGGTATGACTTGGTATGATTTGAAGGGTCTCAGTCACGGTATGACTTGGTGGGCCTAGATCTTGGTATGACTTGGTATGACTTGGAGGGCCTCAGTCATGGTAGGACTGAGTACATTAATACTCAGTCATACCACAAGAAGACCCTCATTGTACTACTTTTTTTTTAAAGAGAAGTAAAATAATAAAGACTTAACTTTCATAAATCCAGGCAACTTTTAATTGAAATGACTGTCCTATAGTGTCCTTTACTCATGTTATGATTCTGTATTCTTTCTGCTAGTTAAAGAGGAAGGCAGGAAGGTAGAATTTGTTTTTTAAAAATATATAAATGTGGCCATGCTAGGTGGTTCAGACTGTAATCCCAGTACTTTGGGAGGCTGAGGTGAGTGGATTGCCTGAGTCCATGGGTTCAAGACTATCCCAGGCAACTTGGCGAGACCTTGTCTCTACAATAAATAAAAAAAATTAGCCGGGTGTGGTAGAGCATGCCTGCAGTTCTGGCTACTTGGAAGGCTGAGGTGGAAGGATCACTGGAGCCCGGTAGGTCGAAGCTGTGGTGGCCGTTAGTGTGCCACGGCACTCCGGTCTGGGTGACTACAACTCAAAAAAAAACACAAAAAAACAAATATGAGTAAACTATTTGCTGGTGGGTGAACTGGGCATGGAAGGAAAGATGCATTTTGAGCACCAAAATACGATTAGTCTGTGCTCTTATTTCCAAAACACTAAAAATATTTGGGACTCTAGACTGAATTGTGTTACCCACCAGTTAAGTTACTCTAAGGAAATAGTTGAGTTTGTTTTTTAATCCTATATAGTCAGAGCCCTTCCGGATTTAGAAAATCTAAAATCTTTATTTGGGTAACATTAAAAACACAAGTGTAATCTTTTACTTCCTGCTACCTTTTGGATAGCTTTTTCAAAAACTCTTGATTTTTATATATTATATAAAATTATCTTAAGAAGTTACTGCTTATTCAGGGTTCCCATAGGATATATTACTGTTTGAGGTCTCTATGACTAACTTACTTCATGTCTCATTTATGAAAATTTCCCTACTAGGAAATTTTCAATTTTTAGTCCCCATAAAAATAGTTCAAAAGAGTTTTATTATAATTATTTATGACTCCTTTATAGATTCTTTTATAGAACTATAGAAATCATTCCATTTTATTTTAGTATATGTTACACTGGCAGCTAAAATTATATATGAATATTTACTACACATAAAGTTACACATTTAATAGTACAATTTAAAAACTGAATATATAATTTTTTCTTTAACATCTGATTTTTAATATAGTAATTTCAAATATGCCTATTATTTCTCAAACTTATCCTTTTAAAATGCTTATGAATTCTCTACATTATTTATGACATTGTTTCAAGGGCATTGAAAATAAAAAAGCACATAAAGAATAAAAGTATTAAAGTTTGCATCTATTATACTTTTTGTTTTTAAGCTTGTCTTTTTCTTTTAGCTTTTAATTTCTATGTAAGTTTAAGTCAAAAATTCATCAAGAAAAACTTATTTGTTGCCAAACAAGCACCACAAAAATGCTGTCTTTGGAGAACGTGAAGGTCAATTCCATAGAGACGTAGTCTTTTTTCCTGTCCGAATCTTTCTGAACAGAACATTTCTCAAGTGAAACTGATTTTTTTTAATGAAAATAAAATATTGAAAGCCATTCATCTTAATTTTAAATTCTGATAATTGCTGTAATGCTTAAGAAGAAAACAACATTTAATAAAGATAATAAAGTATGCACCATACATCCATTCTCTGAGTCTTCTTTCCTAGTTACTTTGATTTTGTTGTGGCATCCACACCTTCCCCTCTGCAATGCAGCCATGCAACATGAGGAAGCCAGCCCTGTTCCCAGCACCAGGCCTGAGTCTTGATCATTTTTGTCCTACATGTTCATGGTGGTGATTTTATGGTCGGGAAGGGAGCAACCTTAGCATGAAACTGATAATGCTGGTGACAGAACAGAAAAAACATAAAGTACATCGGTCCTTGAGAATCTAATAGCGTCAATAAACCAACCTGTGGCCTGTTCTCTCTGGACTCCCTATTTTATTAGACAATATACTATGTTTAAACTTGTTTAAGTTAGGGTCACTGTTACCAGAAGTCAAGAGTATGGTGATACATATTCAAAGCAGCACATACAATAGCATTCATTGGTATTAAAAAGAAGTGTGTGCTCTGTGCAGAGAAAAAAAATCTTATGAATATGTTTCCATATATATGTGAATACATAAAATGTTAACAATGGTCAGTCTCAGTGGTAAGATTACAAGTTATTTTCTTCTGATTTCTATATTCTAAAATATTTTCTATTTTTTCTACAATAAATATCACTTTTTTTATCAGAAGATAATAAAATGAACACAAGGGCATGCTAAGTAATTATGGTAGCAAAATTTTATACTTTTCCCATAATATGAACTACTTGACTTTATTATTAAATATACTTCTAGATTACACATTTAAAACTTACACTGACTTCATAGAAAAATTATAGTATTAGCCAGAGAGATTTTCCTTTATTTTAACTGTATTAAAATGAATGTATATATGGTTTTCTAAAAAATTGCTTCCTTTGTCTTCCCCTATCTTTCTACATTTAAAAATGCAACCTTATAATTTTAATTCCATAGGATAGTAGTAAAGATAATAGAAAAAAATAACTTAATCCAATATGGATGAAATGAACTACAGCTCAGGAAACTAGATTGCTGAATTCATTAAAAAAACAAGTTAAAGGGTCACTTAGGTACTGATTAGAGAAACCGATCTGTTGTTCTTAACAGCTGAGATTCACTAACAACGTGCATGCTGCAGTTCAGTGAAGATGGACGATTTTGCATGGGCCCCTTCGAAGTGCTTCTGGCCATTCTTTACATAATTCTTCGATATTTTCATGAGGTATCGGGCAAAATAATAATGCTCTATTTCAGAAAAGGTGAAACCTGAGGCAGAGAGGAGCTACTTGGATCCTCAACTATCAGAATGAACCAAAAACTCTCTTGGGGGAAATGCCCCTAGAGACAGAGGCCTAGACCCATTCCTTGGGGTATAAGAGAGGGAGGGACACCTCACTGAGGTCTCTACTGTCAAGCTCCCGGCTGTGTTGCCAACGTCCTGGGAGTGCTGTCTTCCTCATGCCACAACAGGTCACCTGCTTTTGGGACTGTGATACTGACACAGTAATCCTAGAAGCACAGGATTTATGGTTGGTGAAAATAGCCCAGTGGGGACCTCATAGATGCCCAGAGACAAGGAAGAACATACATTCACACTGATCACCACTGGAACAGAACCAAAGACTTGTATTCACTGTTTAATCAGCAAACATTAGAGTCCCCAGACTTGGTTCACAATGGAGGGGAAACTAACCTGAACCAGGAGCCATTCACGTCCCAAGCAGTTTAGATTGGGTGTATGTAAAAACTACAAGAAGTGCCAGGAAAGCTCTTTAATAACTTTCCCTGAGGGGTGTTTGTGGGCCCAAAGGGAGGAGTTCCAGGAGGTAACCAGAAGTTTTCCAGGAGGTAACCTCAAAACTTGCAATGTAACCCATACTTTGGCTTCCATAAAAAGATAAGTTGTCTTTGGTTATCAAAAAGTATTTTGATCTTTGACATGTTTAACACAAACTAGAATGGTAATATGCACATTGATTATACATTATGTTGAAAATTCAGTAAAGTGTTCAGTAAAATAAAAACTTTGCCCATAAAATATAAAAGCATAATTTGGCCCTTAAGTTTTACTACTACAAATGTTTAAGTAACATTTGATTAGTTTCAATTGGAATTCAAGTATTTTTTTAAAAAATCAGAGTGCAGGAAAATGTGGAACAATAATTTGTGAACCCCTAAAAAATAAAAACACTGAAAATATTCTCTATTTTAAGAAAACAACTTTTAATGAGTTGGTAGTAAGGCTTAGTGTTCTGAGTATAATCTGGATATCAAGTCTCATAGTTTAATAGCAGGTTCAAGGCAGACAACTTTGAAATTGATGGACTTTCCTTAGTTGTATAATGACAAGAACTAAAATTGCTTCTAAGTAGTTCTGGCAATAATGAGTCCCTGGATATTCAATAAATGTTAAAGCACCAGAGTGATACTTTTACTTAGTCAAGAGACAAACACT